GGATATATTATATATATCCATATCTATATCTATATCTATATATAGATATATAAATGTAGATATAGAGATATATAAGCTATATAGAGATCTATATATATATCTCACATCTTTATCCAATTATCTCTCGAAGGATACTTCAGTTGTTTCCTAATCTTGGCCACCATGAATGATGCTGCAATGAATATAGGAGTACACATATCTTTACAAATAAATGTTTTTAATCTCAGAATTTTAAAATCAGAGAATTAAGAGTCATAAAAGAACTAAGAAATCCAAACTTTCATTGAGACTTAATTGTAGAGACCATTAACATTGTAATATAATAATTACAATAATAACTAACATTTATTGAGAACTTGCTAATCATATTACCTAGATTTTCTCACTTAAACATCAAACATATATGGTAAGTATTGTTATTATCATTCTTTTACAAACAAGGACATGTTGATATTAATTCCTTATATTTCTGTAGTGATTTATGTTCTACAACGCCATTTCATCTATGTTAGTCCACTTTGTGATTTGATGCAGTAAATATTTCTATACTTGTAGTTTACAGAGGAAACTGTAACTTCACAGTTATTAAATGGTTTGTACCAGAATTAGCAGGTGGCCTTCAGTTGGTTCGTTGGACTAACTTTTCATTTTTTGTTTTTTTTCCTAGCTAGGATCTTCTAGTTTAAGGCTCTTAGAAATCAAGTATGTATTTATAATAATTATGGGGAGTTCCATTATCCACATGTGTTATAATGCACAACCATATAAGGAATCTAATCTGAGGGCGGATACCTCCTGCATTGTACTGCAGGTTAGTGAGGTGGGACAGGCTGAGGTAAGGCACAGCTACTTGTCCTCACTGTAGGCAGTTGTTCAGCCTCTCTGACTCTCTTTATTCACCTGCGCATTTGGGATGGTTGGACAAAGTGACCTCTAAGGCCTTAGCTCTCCTGTATAATGATTTTATATAATTCTTTCCTAAAAAGAGCAGTCTTGTATGAAAAGGAATAAAAATGAAGAGAAAGAATTTTTAAAAAATCATTTTAAACCTAGACTAAGAATTAACTAGTAAAACATATGGTAGCAATAATAATGTTTAAAATTAATCTGAAAATGAAATTAAGAAAACATTACATTTATAGTGAGATCAAAGAGAATAAAATACTTGGGAACAGATTTAACAAAAGGAGTACAAAACTTACTCTTTGGAAACTACTAAACATTGCTAAAAGAAATTTTAAAAGACCTAACTAAATGAAAAGACGTTCTGTGCTCGTGAATTGAAAAGACATAATATTATTAAAATGGCAGTATTTCCCATATTGATCTACAGATTCAGCATAATCCATATTAAAATCCCAGTTGACTTTTTTGCAGAAATTAACAAGCTGATTCTAAAATTCATGTGAAAATTTAAGGGACTGAGAATACCTAAAATAGTCTTAAAAAAGAACAAAGTCAGAAGACTCCCACTCTTGATTTTAAAACTTTCATTAAGCTATAATAATCAAGAATGTGTGGTACTGTCATAAGGATGGATATACAAATCAACAGAATAGCATTAAAGTCAGAAATAAACTCATACAGTTACAGTTAATTGATTTTCAACAAAAGATGTCAAGACAATTCAAAGGCAGAAAGAATAATCTTTTCAACAAATAGTTAGGCCAGCTGTATAGCCACATGCAAGTGAATGCAGTTGGACCCTTTCATCATACCATACACAAAAATTAACTTAAAATGGGTAAAAGACCTAATTATAAAAACAAAATTAATAATTTATTAAAAAGTATAGGAGAAATCTTTCATTACCTTGGGCTAGACAAAACCTTTTTGGGGATGGCACCTTAAGCTCATACTACAAAAAAAAAAAAAAAGAAAGAAAGAAAGAAAGAAATTGGACTTCAAAATTACAAAAACTTTTATGCATCAAAGACATCAAGAAAGGGAAAAGATAACTTACACAATGAGAGAAAATATTTGTAACTTATGTATCTGATAAAGAACTTGGATTCTGAATATATAAAGAACTATTACAACTCAAATAATAAAAAGACAAGTAATACAACTTAAAAATGAACAAAGGATCTGAGTAGACATTTCTACAAAGAAGATAAACCAATGACCAATGGGTGCATAAAAATATAGATGCTCAATATCATTAGTTTTCAGAGAACTGCAAATCAAAATCACAGTAAGATAACACTACTACCCACTAGGATAACTATCATCAAAGAGATAAAACCACAACAAGTGTTAGGGAGGATGTGGAGAAATGAGAGCCCCAGTTCACTGCTGATTTGAATGTAAAGTGGTGCAGCCACTTTGGAAAACAGTCTGGCAGTTCCTCAATAGGTTAACCATAGAGTTGCCTTGTGACCCAGAAATTCCACCTGTAGGTATATTCCCAAGAGAAATTAAAACATAATATCCAAACAAAGACTTGTGCATGAATGTTTTTAGAGGCATTATTTACAATAGCCAAATGATAGAAACAACCGAAATTTCCATCTACTGATGATTGAATAAATAAAATGTGTTATAGCCACATAATAGAATATTATTCAGCCATAAAGAAAGAATGAAGTACTAACTTATGTTGTAATATAGATGAATCTTGAAAATATTGTGCTAAGTGAGAGAAACCAGTTACAAAAGACCACATGTTATATGATAACATTCATATGAAGTGTTCAGAATAAACAAATCTATAGTGACAAAAAGTGGATTAGTGGTTGCCTAAGTCCAGCAGACTTGGGGAGCGGGGGGAAATGAGGAGTGTCTGCTAAAGGTCATGGATTTTATTTTTGGAGTGATGAAAATGTTCTAAAATTGATTATAGTGATGGCTGCACAGTTTCTGAGTATAATAAAAGCCATTGAGTTATACACATTAAATGGATGAATTGTATGTGAATTGGATCTCAATACAACCGCTATAAATAATATTAAAAATTAAATTTAAAGAACTAGAAATTTCAAATAAATTTGACTAGGCATCCAAGATAACTTTTGGATCCAGATAAGTATGTCTCCCATACCCTTAGTATGCCATTCTACGTCCTGGTAAGGTGAGAGCCTGGGATTTATAGCCACATAGACACTGTTTTGAATTCTGTTTTAGAATGGCCAATTGGCATAACTTCTCTGATCTCAGCTTCTTCATCTTCAAAATAGGGGTAGAAACAATTTTTAGTTCGTGGGTTGCTCTGAACATTAAATGTGTTTCTGTCTAAAAAGCTTAGCGCTATGCTAAAAGCAGTGGCTATCATCAGAGGTATCCTGTTGTGGTCACTACAAAGTTACGTTAGGGTTTTAAAGAGAAAGGCCTGCTGAAAGGCCCTTCCCTATCTTTGCATGTGTTATTCCCCCTGTCTGGATCACTGTCCCTGTCTAACAACTTAATTAATCCCTTCATGATCTCACTAGGATACTCAATTCAGGCTTCTTCTCTGGTGAATATTTCCTGACCACACCCAGAAGCTATGCTATAGACCCTGAATGTTTCTGTCCTTGCAAATATGTCATTTCATTTCTGGCAACACTGATTTATTTGTCTGTGTTTTCCTTTCTGCTGCTGCTTCACTCCTGGATCCCCCAGCTTAGTGCTTGGTGTTTTGTAAGTGTTCAATTAATACTGGTTGAAAGGATTGCCTAAGTAAATTGTTTGAACAAAGTCACATGCTTCCATTTGATTCCTGAACATTAGCTTATGGTAAATAGAATAATCTGAACTATTTTGTGCCAGGAACTTCCTGTGATGATTTGGCATCACAAGTTTATCTAGCATCCTTTGGGATTATAGTATAGTCCTGACATTAAAATAGAAAGGTAGACATCAAGAAACCTAAATTTGTTACAAGTCAATAGGAAATAAATATTGCTGATTGGTAATAGATTGAGAGAGATTACGCCTAATAAACATATCTTCTTTTTGAAAGGCTCTTTTTGAAGGAGATCAGTATTTCATAAACTGCCATGGAAAGTTGAAGCTTTTGATTTCTTAACATACTCTATGAACTGCTAAGAGAAACTGAAATTTTAGATTTCCATGGAAGACCCATTGTCATTTTTAATGATAATGTTATAAATGTATATACTAATTTTGTGTAGTAAGTGAATTTAATATGTGTTTGAACTTGCACTGGGCCATATTCCTGCCCTAAATTAGAAAACCTGTTAAGAAAAATTCCCCTTATCCCTGTGCCAGTTTCTCTAGAAGCCAAAACTTGTTGTCTTAACATTCACCTTCCTGCTTTATCTGCAAAAGAACAAAGCTAAAGTTATTGAGAAGTGATAAATCATGATAGTAATCTATCTAAACTATATGAAGCCATTGACTAGCTCATGTGTGTGTTCTTACGTTGAGAATTTGGCATTACTTGGTATTTTATGATAACCTTACCTAGATTCAGGAGCATAAATAAAATTGTCTCAGCAGTGTCTTTTAATGTCCTTTTTGATGATCTTTTAAAAGTAGATAGAGGCTTTCATTAAAGACCAGAGAACATTAAAACAATTTCACTACTTTCTTCAATTCATGACAACTTTCATCCATTCATTTCAAAATATTCATAAAGAATTCAGGAGCCCATTACTGTAGATAATCCTTAAATGAAATTGGAAGGTGGCATTGTGGTTAGTATGGAGAACTTTCGATTTAGAAATGTGCCATAATTTATAATCAGATCACTGTGCAAGTTTCTAAATAAAAGTTATAAAAAAGTTAGATCACCACTTATTGACAACCCAAATGCATTTCTCATTTGTTTCTTTTAACTAGTTATATACCCTGTGAGCTAACTTATTCTCTTCTCCCTCTCCCCGTGAGCCTCAAAATAGCTTTATTAATAGGAGTATATGATGTTTATGTTTATTATTTTAAAGAGGGGGGAAGAAAAGAATGAAAGGAATGCCCAGAGGCTGAGAGTTGGTTTGGTTCACCAAACTGTTAGATGTCAAATAAACTCTACTGATAATACATCTTTTGTCTCTTTTTAGGAGCTAATTTTGTTACTCGAAAAATTAGCCGGTCAGTAGCTAAGATTTACCTTGGACAACTGGAGTGTTTCAGTTTGGGAAATCTGGATGCCAAACGAGATTGGGGCCATGCCAAGGACTATGTAGAGGTAGGAACTAACTCATGTTCTTAAGAATACCTGTATCAGTTGGTGTTTTAAATACGAGGCCTCTAGTGGAAAAGCATAACCTAGAGGTTGTAGCATGTAAAATTTTACTAATTCAGAAAAGCACATACTACTTTCAATTTAAGATTCCTTGGTTCAGTATATGTAGATTATGGAGAATGTTACTTGAATGAGGAAGCCTTTCGCAATTGTTTATTCTTTAATTATTTAATATGTGTCTGTCAGTTTTTTAGATGATGAGTGAAAAAAGTGTTTGAATGGCGTTCTTCACTTTCTAAAGACTTTTTCAGCTTCCCGCTTTTTTTGCACCCTTCCCCTGCCCAATACGCATATAACTAACCACGAAAGAATTTTTGGGTATAAAGGTACTAATTCTGAAATCTTCAAGAAATACTACCAAATTTCAATTTGCATAATATCAGACGTTCAGATTTACATTCTTCTACTAAATTAAGAGTAATATTTTTATGGAGCTTTTTGTTTCCGCTGCTTAAAAGTCTGGTTATTACCCTTTACACTTCTTAAATTGTGACTTTGCATGCCAATAACTCTGTCCATTAAATAAAGAGAAATAGATGGTAATAATGCTTTTGCGGAATAATGGGTATAGTTAAAAGGACATTTCAATTTTCATTATTGGGATTTATATACACATTAATGCTTTTGGT